TTCTTTAAAACTCTTCAAGCTCATAAATATGTTGGAAGACAAACAGTTCCTATACGTGCATAGTAGAAACTTGGTGCCCATTTATTTAGTATGAGTTCATGTCCAAAGAAATGAATTACATATAACGGTGCTCAATTAGCCGGACACCCACTGAAATGTTATTTAGATAGGTAAAGTTCCACTATACCTGAACGAGGTCGTCAGGAAATTTTTCGGCACGCACGACATCGGCTCCAGGAATTCGTCAGAGACAGTGCCTGACGTCATCATCCCCGTGCCAGACTGGAGAACGGAGGTCACGTGTCGCGGCGTCAAACGAAAACTCAATACACACTCGTCCAATCCTGTGGCGTTCAGCGAGCGTCGGAAGAAGGACTCTTCTCGGCGATCGGCACCCGGTACCGTAGCGCATCAGTCGAGCCGCAACCGTCGAACGGTGAATGTCGTTACACGGCTAATTTGATTTTAAACGATCTCGATTTCCCGTTTGTTTTCTTCTACGTTTGTGCGTTTCATACTTTTGGGTGAAACAAGTGGAAGGTGAACGAAATGGCGAACAACAGGGCTACCAAGTCTGGATTCGCGGCGGAAGCGCAGAGGAAGGTGAGAGATGAAGCTATTTTTTCTCTTTTATTTTTCGTTTAGTGCCTCGTGACCCAGTGCGAGACCATCCCTCGGGGAACTCGACCTAGTAAGGGTGGTAGCGCAAGCGTAATACGCCGAGTTCGTTGTACCTGTATTTTAAGTGATATGCAGATGAATTATGATTCCATCAAATAAGCATGTAACCGCTTCCTATTATTGATTATTGGAATTTTATAGGTATTTCATTGAAATATTTTATTTGGTGCGATATGCATTTTTCACATGTATCGTACGTATAAACCATTATCTATTAGTTCAGTTTTCTTCGTTCACTGGATTAAAACCAGAATTTACACTCGGTAAATATTATGACGCTTCATTAAGTCGAAGTATTAATTGTGAGAAATTTCACATGTTTATCGTGAAGCTTTCTGTACGTGTATGTACCTACGTGTCAGTTGACTGCGTCTGCAGATTATATTGCTCATGTTAGAGATATTCCGTGACGCTTATCGGAGAGCAATTCCATAAGTAATTAAAATGTAGAGCCCGTAAATATGTACATACATAAGTGGATGCCTTTGAATACAGGAACGTATTCAAAGACATAATCTACATCAGTTTTAAAAATGAATTACATTTCTCTTTAATTATCATATTCTTTTAAAAATCGAATAAATGCTCACACTGTAATGTAAGTCATTTGGAAATATTGAACATTTCTAATAACCTGTTCGAAAACGTACGATCATTCTTTTATGTACTTCTTGCTCACTAAAAACTAAATCTTTTTTATTCAATATTCTTCAAACGTGTAGCCATTAACAAGAAAGTTTTCATGATTCGTAGTAAAAAATAATCTCGTAACACTTACTTTTGAAAGAGCATGCATCAGCAACTTTGAACTGGAAATCGCGAAGTGTCACGTAAAGCGTAGATAAATCGAGCTCGAGCAGAGGATTTACGAGCGGATTATCATCGTTCCGACGCGGTCGAAGTGTGTCCCTTACGGTACACCTGAAAGTGCGTTTCTATCAAGGCTCGTCTTGGAACTCGGAACTCGAGGGACTCGCGTTTTCGTTCGTTCCAAGCAGCAGCTGCAAGCCGTACCTTTCTTTCGTCCGAGGGAATTAAAACGAGACCCAGTTGCCAAAGAAGGGAGCGTCCCTCGCTCGAAAACTGGCCGGCCATGGTACACTTCTTCTCTCGCCTCACGACTCAGCCTTTTACCTTCCTAATATTTCCAGCTTGTCACGTGACACGTCGGGGAACTCATCATCCATTCGTACGTTACTCTTCCATGAAACTGAACAATAACTCATTCATGAGACGAATTCATTCATTCATTTTAAGAATTTTTCATAGAAATATTTAAATCTTATAGTACAAATAATGTTTTCCTGTACGAAGTTCTTACTTTTGAAAATAAATTCGTCAAAAATATGTCCTAGCTAAATTATTTCTCTTAAAAATAAAACAAAAATTATATATTTATTACATGTATATCTTTAAATCAGAGACGGTTACACTCATAATAAGGCAACCTAGATCGTTCCAGAGCTGTCGTATTCGAGTCACTCTTCTGCAATGGAAAATAACTTCGAACAACTCAAAGAATGTTGTCATTAAGGAGAAACATATATAAAAAGAAAGGCCTCGAGTATTCGTCGTTCTCAATTGAACACAGAGAAAAAATAGGACGAAGTACAAAACACAAGGGAGCTGTTGTACCATGGTTTTCGTGCTCGTTCTTTTTTCCATACCCACGAGACAATAGCGAGTAACTAGTCCGAAGGACGCTCATTACCTTGTGGAGAAACATTCATTACGAAGATACGCTTATCACCATTGGAATGCATCGGGTTTCGTTCACTGCTTCATTTCTTTTCGCTGATTCAATACCGCGCGCTCAACGATTGCATATGTGAACGAAATTCGACATGGTTTGAGGAAAAAATAACTTAACACATTTTCATATATTATTCCAGTACTTCATAACTAATTAAAGGAATATATCATAATTGGGATCTTAATTTCAGGCTGAAGGTCATAGATAATATTGTTATCATTATCTTAGAGTTCTCTTGAAGAAACCAATTAATTTTCATTATTGGGTCAGTCGGTACGATGATCTCATTACGGAGTTATTCCACATTCATATACATAACGTAATACTACTTAAAAATAAGTTGTGTACATTGCCAGTGTTACATAATTATTAACTTCCAAACGAGTTCTGATACTAGACTAATTATTTTATAAAAATATGATTAGTCTATATTTATCTATTTGTATAGCCTTAATTATTCATGCACCACTTCCAAGCTTAAGTAGCACGTATAGCAACTAAAAGATAAAATCATTCTTCCACTCAGTTAGAATATACATGTAGTCCAAGCTGAAAATTTGTCAAGTCAGCCTAGCCTTCGAGACATGTTATGTTCTGTTATCGACAAGTATTTACTTCGTTATCACAATTATAGCTTAAACTTTTTTAATTTGAATGGAATATCCGATTGATTCTATTTATCAGTTATTTTCTAGTTATTGATTAAATACACAATTTCATACATTAATCAAAACGTGTTTATTTTTTAACGACTTGTGTAGTAAATTCCTCTACACTTACCTAAGAATATTAACAAGTAAACGTAGAATGTTTTCGTACTACTGTTCATTGTATTTGTAAAAACACAAGCTGCTTTCAACACGCGTATCACATCAATTACGTTCTAATTGAAACATGTTTCTCCCCCTCACGATATGGTGCACTATTTTTAAAAATTGTTGTTTCAATTCCTCGTACGGCGTACCATGCGGGAACGATGTTTCGTTACAAAACAGCGATAACAAAATTATAGCCACGTGTTTCCGTGAATGAACCCGCCACGAATGTACGGCATTATGCGTACGGTATCTAAAAATAGGCATGCTTCATCCCCGTGGCGAGAGGATATCTGTATTAGCCACCGGAAATACTATAAAGTGGTTTCCGTTTTAGGAACGAATAGCTGAAGGCAAGACTCGGCGAACGCGCCGTTCGTTCCTTACTATTTTCGTTTTACTAGACTCCCTAATCATCCATGCCGTATTAACGATTCAGATTCCTGCAACTCGTGTTCCGAGGAATTCCCACGTCCATCGGCTTTCCCTCTTCCGTTCTTCGAAACTTGGCGCGTAATTGCTCCCACAGTTGATGAAGAATTGCAAGTGAATCAGTATATCGAATAATGAGAAGAATTTTAACCGTATTTCTTTGTAACTTTGAAATTCACAATTATAGTGGTAAAAAAGATATTAAAAATATTTTGAAATCGTTTAATCATTAGACATTTTATACTGTTTAAATTTATATTCGAAAACTATACTCTGAATAAAATTATAAAGGTCCATTCTTCCTCTCATAGTCTGTAATCACCAAATACATACCTAGCAAGACGTTAGCAACGTTTTGTACACAAATCATTAGTTGACACGCGAGGCCAAGCGTAGCAATAGGGGTGAAGGACGCATACAAATTCTGTCCAGCGAAACTGAGATACAAGTCAGTAAAACATGTCCAACCTCTGCATCCTGCTCGGCATTTGTTTATCTTAAATACTTTTCTATACCTGTTCATCGATTCTGATTCTTTGAACTAAGAAAAGGCTTTATAAATACTAGAGAATTACAGATAAAACACAAAAGATACATATAATCTATGACATTTGAACAATGTAATGTTCAGTAGTATCACAGACTTATGACTGAGAAGATACTTATCGGTTGTTTTCTCTTAAAACCTCTAAGTTTTATCAAATATGACTCAATTGTTTTCACTTGAAGTTTTTATGATTGGATCACCATTTGGTAATGGTCTTACAAAAAGAGCATTTAAAAGAAATTATATCAAGAATCATAATCACCTAACTTCAAGTTCTTGGCAGCAAAGTATCTTGACAAACTTGACTACCATGAAGGAACTTTCTCTCATTTGTGAGTCACACCCGAGCATACTTTCTTTCTTATGTCACGCTGCCGTCAACCAAAGCCAAAGTCAGTATCACTTGTAATTATTATTTACGGATCGTGTCGATAAATTATTACTTAATCGAATATCGGGACGTATTACTAAGCACGTTTTATAATTACGCGTGTCAGTGGAAAGTCTCTCGGAGGGAGAAAATTGAATAAGAGATTAATAGGCAGGATTACATCAAGAAATGAATGGTTTATTGCTCGGCTCGTTAAACGCTGTAGAACTTATGTCGGATTACTTTTCTGCGTGCCGCGAAGCAATTATTCGAACGAGTTCGGAATCACCAAGGAATTAATTAAAAGAAAAGTAACTGAGTTGTGCGAAGACCTCGACACGGCATCTTCCGTTGTGTGCAATTTTGCATTCTTTCAAATTAACAGTCTCGAATTCCCACGAGTGCCACGGGAGAATTTCACGGTCGAAAAACAACCGTGAACTTCTACGCCATCAGTACTACTAATTTCTATCAGTCGAAATCTCTTGTCCTCGTTAATGTAAATCATACACATATATTAAAAGCCAAAGTCAGTATCACTTGTAATTATTATTTACGGATCGTGTCGATAAATTATTACTTAATCGAATATCGGGACGTATTACTAAGCACGTTTTATAATTACGCGTGTCAGTGGAAAGTCTCTCGGAGGGAGAAAATTGAATAAGAGATTAATAGGCAGGATTACATCAAGAAATGAATGGTTTATTGCTCGGCTCGTTAAACGCTGTAGAACTTATGTCGGATTACTTTTCTGCGTGCCGCGAAGCAATTATTCGAACGAGTTCGGAATCACCAAGGAATTAATTAAAAGAAAAGTAACTGAGTTGTGCGAAGACCTCGACACGGCATCTTCCGTTGTGTGCAATTTTGCATTCTTTCAAATTAACAGTCTCGAATTCCCACGAGTGCCACGGGAGAATTTCACGGTCGAAAAACAACCGTGAACTTCTACGCCATCAGTACTACTAATTTCTATCAGTCGAAATCTCTTGTCCTCGTTAA